CCAAGCCCAGCGAGGACCCACTCAATCACATCAGCTAGATGCGACAATGCAAAACGAGACGACCGCGGGAGACCTCGACGGCAATACGTCTGCCAGGATAGCGGATAACGGAACGGCGAACCGAACACACGGAAGAAACCACCTGCGAGCCCCCCGCTTCGTGCCCGGACGGCAACAGGCACTGGCCGAACACACAGCATGCACAGGGACGCACCCAACCCAACTGCAGTAAAGCGACAGCACGCACAAGGGGGGTGGGGGGAGGGGGGAGGGCCTCTTCGAAGGAGGCTGCTAGAAGGCGCCAGCCTTACGACTATGGATAAGGCCGGCGCCTTCTAAGAAGCAGGGGCCCTTCTAAGAAGCCCTCCCCCCCCCCCCACCCCCCTCCGCGCGCCGCCGAGCAAAGTGGCAGCACCAGCGGGCCCACCCGGAGCGCGTGATGACAGGAGAGAGGCGTGCGGCCGCCCGGCGAACGCTGAGCAGGGAGCCCTGGCGGCGCACGCCCCTCGGGACCTGCCTGATGCAATGCCAAAAGAGCGGTACACCCTGCGAAATGCCTAAGAAATCATGGGTTAAGAAATTCATAGTCTCAGAACTTGAATACAAACCCAGAATATCTGTCAAAATCTCTAGATTTGCATTGAAACATTATGAATGATCGAGACTCTGGCCGAAAACGCAAGTTTTCTTAAGCATCGCCCAGGGTGTACCAAAAGAACGGTAGAGGGGGAAGGACAAACTGACGACCACGACAGGGAGAACGACAATATAGGAGGGAGTAGATAACACAAGTGCGAAATGCTATTAAGAGGCAGAGGACGACATGAACGGCGAGAAGGCAAGACATACGATGATGACGAAACACATTCGAATACCCGTGTCATGCAAGAACGTCCCCTGGCCACTGTTTTGCCTTCTTCCCAGCACCACCGCATAAAAAAGGCTTGCAGGATACTGAGGGGGCGCAGCAACGTGGTGACAATTGCCCGCATGGCAACACCCAGGGAAGGCGAGATCCCGCTGGGGTCTTCGTCAGTCCATGCTCCAAGCATCACTTCGCTGAATTTCCCCAGGTGCGCAGAAACGGTGCGACAACTGCATGCCTAGCAACACCCGGAGGAGACGATGTCCCATCTATGTCTGCGCAAGACAACGCATACCAAGACGCAAACAGGGCAAGGTCCCTCCTGGGTCAGCGTCAGTCACCAGTCACCACTCCGTTGTACCTTCCCGGGGACGCAGCAAAGTTGCGACAGCTCCACGTCGGGCAACACTCAGGGAGACCGAAGTAACGTTACAGTCTGCGTGGGGCGCCACTCCGCTGTCGTGCAGCCACGTGGCGACAATTGCACGCATGGCAACACCTTGGGAGGTCGAGGTCCAGCGTGGGTTTGGGTTTTTGTTAGCTGTCACCCCGCTGGACCTTTACAGGAGCGCAGCAACGTGGCGGCCTGGCAACACGCAAGACGGGGAGGTCCCATCTAAGTCTACGTATGATGTCACCCCGCTGTCGCGCGCAGCACAATGGCGACAACTGCACGCATGAAAACAGCCACGAAGAGTGAGGTCCTGCTTGTGTCTTCGTCAGTCGTCGCTCCGCTGCACCTCCCCAGGGGCGCAGCAAAGCTGCGACAGCTATACGCGCGGCAACATCCTACCATCCAAGGGGGCGGGGGGGGGGGAGATGTCACGCCTGAGTCTTCGTAGGGCATCACTCCGCTGTCGCGCAGCAGCGTGGCGATTATCACACGACTGGCACCACCCAGAAAAAACGCGAGGTCCCGCGCGGGTCTTCGTCAATCGTTACCCCACTGGATCTCCCCACGGGTGCATGAACGTGGCGACAACTGCACGCCTAAGAACAACAAGAGCGGTCGAGGTCCCGTTTCAATCTGAGTAGGACATCACTCCGCTGGCGCGGTGCAGCGTGGCGACACTTGCACGCATGCCACCGCCCTAATACAACGACGTCCTGCTTGGGTGCCCGCCAGTCATCACTCTGCTGGATCGACCCTCCAAGAGATCCCTAAGATAGTCTACGCGAGCCTCTTTGGGAAAACTCGGTGGAACTCTCGTGGCCAAGACGGGCGTGGACCACGCGACGTGCTGCCAGCTAGTCCCCATGGGGGTGTCGAGGAGGAGAAGGAGAAGGAGGAGGGGCAATGAAAGGGCGAGAACGTAGTGCCCTTCTTCTCCAAATCAACCATTTCTACTTTTGCAGCATCCATCTCGCAAGCTCCGCCCATGTGGGCGACTCTCCTTCGACGCCTACTATGCTGAGCGAATGCCCCTGGCTCTGGGGATAAAAAACCCCTTGGAATAATGCTGGCGTTATTGTCGTTGAGGCCCCTGGCTTGTGCGATTCGGCCTGAACATTTTCCCGCGATGGGTTCCTCTTCTGCTCTTCCACCCATTCCTTCACTCGCCATGGGGCCGACCCACCTGCGTCGCTTTCACGCCCGCCGTGAATCAGTATCGCTGGCACCTTGATTTTCGGCCTGCTTCCCAACACATCTCGCAGCTCCACGACGTACGCCTCTGGCATGTACCAACTGCTGCTGCATTTCCCTTTGAAATTCCGTTCGTAATTATCAATCGCTGGGGCCAGAAGCACAACCCGATCCACCAAGTGCGGGTGTCGTTCCTGAAAAAGCGCCGCTACATAAGCACCGACCGAAAAGCCTACAATGGCGGAGAAAACCACATTGTTGCCATCATCGACCAGCCTATCAGGCTTGGGGGGCAAAGGGAACGCATCAGGACTGCCATCGCCAAGATTGGGGATAATACTGTCATCGTGTCCAGCAGTGCTGCCATTTCCACTCGCCATCGATCCTGCATCCGACTTCAAACTTTCAGCAAGCTTCACGAGGTCGACGTCGACGAAGGACAATAGTCGTGTCTCAGCTATGTTCCCGTTCGGATGGTACGACGGCGCATGTATACATACATGCTCAAAGCCCTGCTGTGGAATGGCGCGTTCGAGCTGATCCCTCACAAAACCTGCATGGTGACCACACGTATCACCAAAGCCATGAAGGTATAGAATATGTTTGGTATGGCGACTGTGAGGGGCGGATGGGGCTGTCAGCGAAGATGTACACAAGGGACTGCCAAAGTCTACCATGCGCACAAGTCGTGGTCCAGCAAGCTGGCAATCAAAAGTGGCGTGCCCCCATACTATCTGGTCTGAAACAGACTCGCTTGCGCCGAATTGGCTACGGGTTAACGACCGCGCCAGTTCAGACAGGGCATCGTGGAGCGGATCTTCAAGTCAACCTCCTCCTCCTACCTGTTGCGCTGCTGCGCTGCCGCGCTGGCACAATGGCAGGGTTTGCAGCAGGCAGCTGGCACAATTGCATCCCCAATCCGCAGACCCCAGCTTGCTGAGGGCCACGGTCCGAAGGCGTTTGATATGTTTAGGTGTCCTCCTCGCCCAGTCCTACCTCCGAAGGGGCCCAGCATGTTTCTTGGGAGGGGGGAGGGACTCCAAGCTTCCCAAAACACCTCCTGGGCCCTATGGGTTTTTCCAAGTGGCCTACTGGGCCCCAGGGGCCCCAACAGGGCAGAACACGGTAATCGAACTCCGATTTGGTGGCGCCATCTTGCCCGAGACCCGCAACCGTACCCTAGTTGTGGCACGGAGAGGAGTCTCCACAGGTCCTTGCCCTGATCCCCTCAGCCTCTGTCCTCGCTCCCCCTGATTTCCCCAGTGCGTCGCGCCGGATTCGCGGAGCGCCGCTCTGCCGAGAGGCCTCAGAGCATGCGCGCCGAATCCCGGAGGGTTCCGCGTCGGATCCGCGGAGCGGAGCGCCCCTCTGCTAATTTGCCTCAAAGCATGCGTGTCGACTCCTGGAGTGCATCGCGTCGGATCAACGGATCGCCGCTCCGCTAATTGACCCTGGAGCATGCGGAGTGCTCTGCGTCGAACTAGCGGAGCGCCGCCCTGCTAATTGGCCTTAAAACATGCGCGCCGAACCGGCGATTCCCGGAGCGCTCCGCGCCGGATTCGCGGGCCGCGGCTCCGCGAAGTGGCCTCTTCGCATGCGTGTCGACGCTGCCTGCGTCGCACCTGCCTCCAAGAGTCGCCCGAGAGGCTTCCAAAGATACCCCCACGAACATCCACGAGGTCTTGCCCCCAAGAGGCCCCCAAGAGGCTCCATGAGGCCCAAACACGCCCCCCCAACAGGCCTCAAGACTGCCTCCAAGAGGCCCCCGAGAGGCCCCCCACGAGATCCCAACGAATATCCAACGGGCTTCGTGGCCACAGCCCGGGCGCGGCGGCGGGATGGGCCGAAGGCCCTTCGATGAGATCTATGACTGCCCAAGATGGCCCAAGATGGCTTCTCTAAAGCGTCAAAGACGGCCCCAGAAATCGCCAATGCCAGTGGCTTCATCAAGGGCCCCAGGGTTCTTCGATACCGCACCAAGAGAATCTCCAAAAACACGCCCCAGACATCCGGCGTCTCGATTTCCCCGACCTCTGGACCACTTCCCTGGGACCAGAATTTCATCCCGAATAGTTTTTGACGGTTCCCAGGCCTGGTAAGTGCCCCGAGAGGCCGAAAACAATTGAAGTCATCCGTCTCGATTTGCTTTCGAGACGCTGGATGTCTGGGCACCTCCGAGATGGATGGAAGACGCTCCAGAGACCCCCAGGAGGCCCCGAAGAGTCCCGAGAGGCCCTTCCAACGGCGGTCCCCGTGCGCCTCGCTTTCCCGCAGCAAAGGCAGGGCGGTGGCTGGGGCCGAAGGCCACTGCCCGGCTGGTTCGCGTCTGGATGTCGCGGGGGCGTTGACTTCTGACGCCGCGCGGATCGTTCAACCTCTTGAACGATCGCGGCTCTCCGATCGCGCAGATTGTTCAACATCGGCCGATTCTGGGTCACCGGCGCCGTTGAACCTTGAACGCCCGCGCTGGGGTCGCCGCCGCGTCAACGCGGCACAGGCCTACCGTATCGTTCGAACTGTGAGCTTACGCGCGAGCATCAGCATTCGCTCCTCGACGACAGCGCCTCGGTAGACGTAGTGTTCCATGGCCTCAAACACGTTGAAGGGCGACCGCATGGCAGAGGCTCCGGCGAGGACCTTCGCACAGCTGGGGGTGGCGAGCGGAGTGACAAACAACAAACACATCAAGAGCAACACATGATAGCTATCATGCTGCACCCAAACCTTCAAGACGTTGGCTTGTGGGGTTGAGCGGGATGGCCATGAGGTGGCGTTGCCACCTGTCACTGGGCTTGGCTGACAAACTGCTGCTGTGGTTTCATTCGGCACCGGACGCGGTGGCTGCTGTCTTCTACAGTTGTTTCACCTACCTCTAAGGACAGGAGCGAGATAGGAAATTAGCTAGTTAAGCGGGGCAAGGATGGCAACGAAGGACAACGCGACGGGGGAAACAACACAAGTTCACCAAGAAAGGAACCGACTCGCACCGAC